AAAAAAAAAAAAAACAACTCAAGAACGAATCCAGCCTCCCATTTAAACGATGTGCTTGACATAGACTCTTATGGGGAGCTTAGTGTTCAGGATTAACACCTGGGCAAGGGACGGGAAGGAAACAGGAGTGGACTGAGAGAGAACTTGAGCAGCAATGCAGATCCCCTGACAGCTTCAACTGTCCCCATGGGGAGTCCTGGGCTAAAATAGCCCATCAGCATTGTTTCCAAGTGGGCAGAGATGGCCAGACTTTTTATACTCCTGCTGGGAAATGGATAGTCATTGGGATGTGGACCCCTGTCGCAAGAGGGTTACCTTGGGCAAGGCTGCTCTCTGCAGCAGAGGCAGTCCCTGGATGGGCTCGGGCTGTCCACTGACAGCACGACCTGTTGTTGAGGAAACATTTCTGTATTCCTTACAGGGCAGAAGAGCAGTGGGGAGATGGTGGTCCTTGAAAGCTGCTCAGAGGCTTGCCAGTTGTGACCTGTGGTTGGAGAGAGGGGAGCAGGGACAGCAGAGTGAGGGAGAGTTTTACCCACAACCATTCTTGGGGGAGCTGAGAGTTCTGGGCCTGGGTCTTCAAGGGACTTCATTCAATTGGATTTACACTCAGGGACAGAAGGTCCACCTCCACATCCTCTGTGCCAGGTGCTGTGCCATGTACCGGGGGACTAAATACCACTTGGATGGGGGTCATGGCTCCATGGAACTCCATGCCTTCCTAGCTGACCACGCCCACCCATGACCCACTGTCCACACTGCTGCCGGACTGATCTTTCCAAAAGGCAAATCATAAATGTGACTCTTCTGCTTAAAACGTACTTAAGATAAAATCCTAGCTCCTTGCCCTGGCCTGCCAGGCCCGCTGTGATCTACCCGGCCCACCTCTCCACTTCATCTCTCAAAGCTCACCCCTTGTTCAGCCAGTCCCGGCCAGGCCAAAGTAGGTCTGCACTTAACTGTTGCCTCTGCCTGGAACCACTTCCCCTCCAGATGCTCACAGAGATGCTTCCTCCGCATCCATCAGGCTGCAGCTCGGTGTCACCTCCTCCAGGGAGCTTTCTCTGATTACTCTCTTGATACATTCCTTTTTTCATATTTATACAACAAATATTTACCAAGCACTTAACTATGTCCTAAGCACTGTTATAGGGAGTGGGGATAACATAGCGAATTAGAGAGCCGAGGCCTTGTCCTCTTGGAGCTAACATTCTAGCGCGAAAGACAATCAATACACAAGCAAAAACTTAAAATGCCATATCAGAGAGTGTGAAGTGCTATGAAGAAAATCAAAAGCAAGGTAAGGAGGCAGAGTGCCTGGGCAGCGTCCATGACATCCAAGCTCACAGCGGCCTCTCCCCGTCTGCGGAGTCACTCTGGGGACCCGGCCTGGGAGCAGAGTGAGAAGAGGCGCGTGAGGCCGGCGGGCAGCCGCGGGGGTCACCTGAGCCCCACCCTCGGGGAGGCGGGGGAGAGGACCCCGTCCCAGTGTGCGGCCGCGCGGCCCCTTCCAGTCCGGCCGCCCAGGAGGCGCGCTAGCTCCCGGGAAAGCGCGTTCTCGCGGCCAGCCAGGTGCGGTGGGCACCGCCCTCCATCCGCGCCTCC